TTTGTCTCGTTTGTCTCAATGTGGCCCTGCGATGGACTTGCGACCCGACTTGTACCCCGCCCCTCGCACAGTGATTGCTGGACATGGGCACCGGCGACCCCCGTGACCCAAAATGGAATAAGCGGGTAAAGATAATGGATGGATGGGCTGTCTCTCCTTCCTGTTTTTCGGTTCTCAAAATGGCGAATGCTCTGTGATTTGAGCTCTTTAGCATAATATTTGTCACACGGGCGGCTGTGGCTGAGTGGTTAGAGCAGTCGTCCTCCAATGCGAGAGTTGGGGGTTTAAATCCACCAGCAGTCACATGCCAAACATTGCCTCTGATGTGTGTCCCATCAATGTATGAATGTGATAAAGCACTGGTTAGTCTCTTTAGAATGATTTGTTCAATTAGCTTTGTAGAGATCTAGTAGAGTCCTGTATGAATGGGTAAATGAGGCACAGATTGTGTTGTAAAGTGCTTTGAGTATCTTGAAATAAGATAGAAAGACGCTATATAAGTACAGTCCATTTACCATTTACACAAAGCTTTTAATAAAAAATCAGTAAACAAGTTCTCAGCTTCTTTTTGCAGAGAAAAACAACTTTTTACACGAAGGCACGGGTTTCAACTGTGAATTTTGCAGCTTTGACAAGACTGAGGTTTTTTCCTGAGGTCGGCCTGTTAGCTTAGCTCGTAGCTTAGCTTCTCAGCTTAGCTGCTTTTAACGATCCAAAACCGTGATTTTGGATCGTTAAAATGGATTTAAAAGAGCAAAGAGAAAGGGAGGGGTCAGAGAAGAGCACCGGAGTTGAGCCTTTTGTCATCCAGTGTCTTCAGTAGAAAGAGAGACGTGAAGAAATGATAAAGACGATAAATGAAAATGAGGTCGATAATTTTCATTTATCATGCGATTAACTGATTTATTGTTTATCGTGACAGACCTATTTGTGGTGCCCTTTTTACAGGCTGCAGGATTGTGCACAGGTATCAGAAAACAAACACATGTTTTAACTTTCAGTGAGAGGTGGGGAAAAATGACCAAAACAGCCAAATATGACCAAACAAATTTTAAACCTATTAACAAGCAAGAAGCATTCTGAAAAATATGGATCTTTACATGAATACAATAATAAATGACTATTCCAGATGGTCACCACAGATAATCAACATTAGCCAACACCATTCATCCATTATCTTTAACCTGCTTCTTCCTTTTCGGATCACTGGTGCCCATATCACTGTGCGAGAGGCGGGGGACACCCTGGACAGGTCTCCAGTCCATCACAGGGACACATAGAGACAAACAACCATTCACTCTCTCACTCACACCTAGAGACAATTTAGAGTTACCAATCAACCTAACATGCATGTTTTTGGTCTGTGGGCGGAAACTGGAGTACCTGGAGAAAACTCACACATGCACGGAGAGAACATGCAAACTCCACACAGAAAGGCTCTCGGCTGGGATTTGAGCAAGTGACCTACTCGCTGAGAGGCAACAGCTTTACAAACTGAGCCACCGTGCCACCTAGTAGTCAACTCCAACATGGATATAATAGTCAGTGTTTACAGATATTGGGCTAACATTGCTTGAGTTGTACAAATGTTGAACTTGTTTAATTTCTGTTTAATCACCGAGATGTGTCCGAGTCATGTTTTTGTTTCCTTTTCGATCTTTTTCAGAATCCTGTTTCCACTCAGCCCTCACACACCGTAAGCCGCCGCTCTTTTGTCAGCAGGGATACCTGAACCAGCGAGGCGTCCCACGCAGCAGTCAGCTTCCGGAGCGAGCTCACCGCGCTGGACTGTCGCCAGCTGAGCAGGACGCAGCCGGCGCACCGGCAGCTAACGCAGCATTCCCACACTACCTGGCTCCAGCTGGAGCAGCTGTGTCTTCGGGACTGAAACTTGACTTCTGATTATCTGATTTGTTCGTGTGGTGTCATGCCGTTTATTTTTCTCTCGTGCTACCTCCTTCACAAAAAATATTCCCTCCACAAGACCAAATATTTGAAAGGTATATTGTCCCTCGTATCGGTGACTCTCAGCCAGTGTTTCTATAAAACACAGCAACTTATTCTCACACTCTTCAGCTTTTGTGCAAGTTTACTGCTTGGTTAGCTCAACTAAAGGCTTGTTTTTCTTTATTAATTATTTGTGGTTTTCTGTGAAAAAACTGTCACTTCCCAGAAAAAAAGTCTATAGAACATTTTCTCTTTACTTTTCTATTAATGATTTTCTTGTCCATCAGACCCGTTATAAGACTTGTTTTTGTTAAAACTTGCAGGTTGGAAAATACTACTTATTACTCAAAAAACACTTTTTTTTCCTGAAAGCTTCTATATTATTCTCATATTTATATACGACACTGTTATGAAGAGATATTAAAATGGAGTTGGGTTTACAAAATATGTATTCATTTTTACTTGATTTAAAAAATAAACATATATAAATATGATATTAAAGAAAAATATTTCTTCAAGAAACATACTCTGCCTTTCATTCCAAACCTTTAGAATAAGATTTTTGTAGAGAAATTATGGGAGTTGTACTGGTTTTAGTCAAGCAATGAAAACAACATTATGCATAATATCAAGTGATATTACCAGAAGTAATGCTCAGAAATATGCTGCTAACAAGCTCAGTTACCACCGCATCAAATTTTAGCCCAGTATCTGTAAAATATATTCAGTTATAGCCAATTTTGTGTTGTCTAAGATCAGTCAGCTGTGGTGGTTATCTTTAATTACGTTGATCCAAAATGTATTCAGTTGTAGAGGTACATTTAATGAATATTTCCTAGAAGTTTCATTAAAATCTGTCAAGTGGTTCATACGATATTTTGTTAACAGATGGACAGAAATTACTTCAAATAGGTAATGGCAAATTTTTAAACAAAGATTTCGCACAAGCGGTTGGCACTCAGATTGTATGTTGGGGATCAGTCTCAGCTACTACCACTCCACATTTGAGGTCAGTGTCTTTAAGACTTGACTAGTTGTGTGAACGCTTATGAAGCATTCACTTTATTATGATCCATTTTTCTTCCGTACGATTTTCAGCGTGGTTCTCGTCCTGCATTTTTCAGCTATTTCAACAAATCATAAATCAAAACATTCAGCTTTTTCAGGACATGGCTGCTGTGACTTTTTGGTATTGGTGCAACTTTAGCTGTTTGAAATATTTAGCCTTTTCTGACACTTTTTTTTTTCTCATAGAAAATGAATTGAGTTTATTTTACATCCTTCACATCTTTAGGTCTATTTACAACCTTTTTTCTGTTCCTTTTACATTTTGTTCTGCTTCAGCTTTTTTCACCAGGAGACTTCACCTTAGTTTAAGAGAGTTTTAATACACACCACAGTTAAAGTATTACAAAAACAAAGTACTGAAATGCATTTCAGGAGACAATGGAGGTGTACTTCACCTGAGTAGTGGCTCAGCTCAAGATTGTCTGACGCTACTTCCTGTTTTAGGATAATGTAATCTCTTCAAGAACCCGCCTCCCTACCAGAGGGGGATCTTCTCCTATTGGCTGACCACCTCGTCAATCTAAGGTTACCTTGGCAACCACGCTGTCATATTTCTTATCTTTCAAGGAAAACTAGTTTTAAGTGACTTTTGGAACCAGTCTCGAAAGTTACTTTTCTTTGTTCTCTGTCTACAGAAAAACGATTCGGCTCCTCCTTCCTGCTGATGAAGTATAAGTGAACAGTTTATAACGCACACAAATAGATACGATGTGTATAAGGTAAAAAAAATAATAATAATAAAACTGCAAAAAGTGAACACACACTGTGTATAAAATGTCCAGTGATTAACACACCCAGCCTGTCTATTCATCACTAATTTCAGCCTTTTTTTTAAACCAATTTTCTAATGTTTGTGCTCATTTCTGCTTATTGAAGCCTAATTCAGAAAACACCGTGTTCTTTCTGCTTTCTTCTGGCTTATTCTTCCATTTCAGCATGTTTTGACGAAAAACTGAACTGGAAAAACTGGTCAGTTGTAGATGTACAGTACATTAAACTGTAGGTGGTGCCTCCGAGCCGACTCGCTGTTATTTGTTCATTACTTTCTGCAAGTTTTATTAGACTTTGTCCAGCGGTTCATGGGGCGCTGACAGGCTTGAACAAACGACCAAGCATATATTAATATATTACATTATAACCTGAACCCCTCACTCACTGCTCATTGAATTGAGAAAGCTCCTCGGATGAGGAGCGAAACGTCTTCTGTTACAAATAAACTCCAGTTGTTTTTGTCTTGAACGTTTTTTGAAACAACCAAGCAGCACACAGTTTGTAGTACGCATGCTCAGATATATCTGGACTCTGATTGGTCCACCACAGAGGCGCTTTGATTGGCTGCTTCATTACGTTGATCCTATTGGCCAGTAGCAAACAAACAACGTGAAATCTGATTGGTCCTTAACGATGCGTACTTCTTGTTTGTACAATGGCTGCGCCCTTTACTACTTCCTCACGGTAAAATGTAAATTAATAAAAAAAGGAGACATTTTGCTGTTGTAAAGGCGAATATATCTACTGTAAAAATATTTTAAAATTATCCGCAACTGGAATATTTTTTTACAAGTCGTTTCGTCGAAGCTTCGTGCTGCAATGGCCGAGGATATACACGCTGCAGTGAAAGTTGACTCCTGATTCAGTGTTTCCATGTTGGCTTTGACGAGCTTTGTTTGGAGGACGGTTATGTAAAACTCCTCGTATCTCACAATAAAATATGGAAGTCGTTGTCTCGGATAATGACCGATCCAGCTCCGAGGGGGAGTACGAGCCCAGACTTGAGAGCCGGGAAGCGGCGGACGGTGAAGCGGGGAGGATGATGGACGATGGTCCCGCTGCCGCCGCTGTCGGCTTCGGGATGAGCGGCACCGGGGAAGGCAAGATGGTTCTGGGTCGAGTCAGGCCGAGGGACGAGAAGGAACTCCGGTACCTGCACTTGTTGTGGGAGCCGGGACGAAGTGAGCTCGGCCCGGGCGGTGTGACCAGCAAGCCGGGGAAGATAACGGGGAGTCGGGCCAGGAGACAGCACCGAACCGTCCGGAACCTGGGTCCTATTGGGAAAGATATTTATGGTAAGAAGCAGATTACTTAAAATATAAAGAAGTTTCAACTGTTAGAAAATGTAAACACACAAAATATAAGGTTATAGTTTATTGCTAACATTGTAGAATTGGTAAATATCCTAAATGTAATAAATTATGTCAATGTGTTATTTGTAAAAACAGCAGCATCTTTAGTTTTAACATAAGAATATTTATAAAACAAAGAAACAGAGACAGTACTGGCTGGCGTTTATGTCAAAAGAGGCAAATAAAATAATATTAAAATCACATTAGTTCCTGTTTATAGATATATAATAATAACTGCATTTACATTATTAGCTCGTTCACTGTCATGGTAAAAGTGCTCCTTTGCCTTCAATAAGTTTGTCTTTTATTTCACACCTGTTTGACTATCTTATCTCCACAGCTGCTAAAAGACTGAGGGAAGCAGCCAACAGCAATGACATCGACACAGGTATAAAAAATGGTGTGATGCAGTATGCAAAGGATCTGCAAAGCAGCGGAAGGAATGTATAATCAGGGATGATTTTTTTTTTTGTTTATTTTATTATTTTAGTGCGAAAGCTTCTGCAAGACGACATAGACCCCTGCGCAGCAGATGACAAAGGAAGGACAGCTCTTCATTTCTCCTCCTGCAATGGAAACGATGGCATTGGTAGGTTGGTGATGGTTAGAAACAGCTTCTTTCAGACATGTGTCCTTCAGAGTGGGCCAATTTCACCTCTGATTAAGTGTATTCATTTTTTTTAATAAATGTGCTATGTTTAGCTGTACTTACTGATTTTCATCTGCACTTCTGCGCACGTTCCATACATTCTTTTATCTTTAATCGCTTCTTAATTTTTGGGTCACGGGGGTCACTGGTGTCCATATCCAGCAGTTACTGTGCGAGAGGCGGGGGACACCCTGGACAGGTCTTCAGTCCGTCACAGGGACACATAGAGACAAACAAGACAAACAACCATTCACTCTCTCACTCACACCTAGGGACAATTTAGAGTTACCAATCAGCCTAACATGTTTGTTTTTGGTCTGTGGGAGGAAACTGGAGTACCCGAAGAAAACCCACACATGCACAGAGAAAACATGCAAACTCCACCCAGAAAGGCCTAAAGCCGGGATTTGATTAGTCTATTTTCTCGCTGAGAGGCAACAGTTCCACCAACTGAGCCACCGTGACGCCGGCCGAGGCCTGTCACAATAACGAAGTTTGCTGGGCGATTAATTGTCTCAGAAATTATTGTGATAAACGACAATATTGTTTGAAATTTGACAATAATTAGTAATTATTGTCGAATTTAAGAAGAAATGTTGGCTATTTTTTGTGTAGTACCTTTTTTTTACCACTGGATGGCAGTACAAGACTTTGAACCGGAGGATGGATAGTGAGGGAGAAAGCAGCGTGTCTCTTTAAGAAAAATAGGAGGGAGGCCCCTTGACGTGACATGGGCTGTCTCTTCTTCCTTTTTTCAGTTCTCAAAATGGCGGACGCTCTGTGTGGTTTGAGCTCTTTAGCATAACATTTTTCACACAAAGCTTTCATTAAAAAAAAAAATCAGTAAACAAGTTCTCAGCTTCTTTTTGCAGAGAAAAACAACTTTTTACACGAAGGCACGGGTTTCAACTGTGAATTTTTGGATAAGACGGAGGTTTTTTCCTGAGGGCAGCCTGTTAGCTTAGCTCGTAGTTTAGCTTCTCAGCTTAGCTGCTTTAAACGATCCAAAAACGTGATTTTGGATCGTTAAAATGGATTTTAAAGAGAAAGGGAGGGGTCAGTGAAGAGCACCGGAGTTGAGCCTTTTCTCATCCAGTGTCTTCAATAGAAAGAGAGACACGAAGAAACGATAAAGCCGATAAATGAAAATGAGGTAGATAATTTTCATTTATCATGCGATTAATTGATTTATTGTTTATCGTAACAGGTCTACGCCCGCCTTAGTCCACCTGTTGTATTTTATTGAATTGAACCTTTGTTTTACCAGGAAGGTCCCAGCAAGATAAACCATATCTTTGTCCTGGGAGTTCTGGTTTAGATGGAGACATAAATACGATCAAGAACAATTATGAAAAAGTTTCATTACAAAATATTTTAAAACATCATCATTAAAAGACAAATCAACACATAAATAGAATAAAAATCAAGCACTGGTTAAAACATTAAATCCCAGCCACACTAAATGCTGAATGTCCCTCGAATGCTTCTGGAATGTGTTTGAGTATGAAAGAAGTTCAGCTCCAATGTACTTGGAATGCCGTCTGAATCTTTAAACTGCTGGAATGAGGCACCAAATCAGTTTGAACGTTCTGACTGGACCTTGAATGAGTGGATGTTATTCAGAACACCTCAGAGTGGCATAAAAACACAGCCAGCTGCTGGAACTTTATTCTGCACTGAGGAGTCGTCTTTTTCTCTATTTTTTCACGTGTCCCCTCTGTCCGCCATGCGAAGGTCTCATATTTTCTGGGCCTTCTTCTTCTGCCGTCTGTTATGGGAATAAAGTGATTCCCAAACTAGCAGGTGTAGATTTCATCAGATTTATTACAAAGCTTTGGAGAATATCCAACTCACAGAAGATCAATTCATTTACAAGTACAAACTGATCAGTGTCTGAGATTCTGACCCATTCTGACTTCCCAAACTGAAAAAGTTAGTTTTGTAGAGGGCCTGCCCCTCCCCTTCACCTTGTCCTGGTGTTTTCAGAACCGAACCCAGCAGCTGCACACAGGGGGCCCCTGGAGGTCAACATTTCTCAAGGATTCTTACGGGGAATAATCCCTGTGTCTACCATAACATTCAGAAGCCTCCAACATAATAAAAGATGACCTCTCCACTGTCTTCTACTGATAGTCACATGCTGGTGAAGATTCTCAGTCATCCAGGACATGATGAATTCAAAAAGCGTTCAATACAAAAACAACTGGACTTTATTTGTAACAGAAGACGTTTCGCTCCTCATCCGAGGAGCTTTCTCAATTCAAAGAGCAGAGAGTGAGAGATTCAGGTTATAAGGCTGAGTGAGATAAGACACACACACACACATATATGTAGATTGGCAGTTCACACCTA